TTCTTAGGTGACGTTCAAGCAAAACTTTTTTATTTCAAAACTAAAAATATACGAAATGGTGCCGAGTAGGTGAGTACTTGCAGCGCCTAGATTATTTACAGTAGTTAGATTTAGGTATGTAAGTAGGTATACCAAGCAGCCAATCCATTTCGAAATCCAATTTCAGGTTCGTCAGCTGTTACCTCTTGCACCGAATACAATAATTGGATTTCTCTGTTTCAAGTTTTATTGCGCCAGTGTTTCTCTTCGCCATTATATTTATTGCTCGTATCATTCGCGAGACTTTGTAAACGCTAAGGAAGTTTAATTTACGTTTTATCTCGGGCCCCCGGTTCCATAAAACTAAAGGCGGTAAGTTTTAATAGATTCTCATAAAACTGGAGTTAAAAGGCCCGATGGACATCGTATTAAGCTCTCGAGTTTATGGCGAAGGACGATCACCATTACATATACCTACGTACGTATAAAAGTGAGTATGTTTCACGCACTTTGTCCATACACACATACCCGCCCTTGTGTACATACGTGGATTCGTCGACACACAAACGCGCCACAACCTATCACTGTGTCGTCTTTCATTCGCTACATCGATCAACTTTAACACAGAATAATATAAAACGACTTGGAGATACCTATGTAGGAACTTTTTAGTGATGCATACATTAAATTTACAGCATCACAATATTTTTTGTACAGATTACTAGCTACTTATGTTCTTACTAATAATACACACTCTACAAAATTTTGACGGTACCTACCATACGCAGGTATTGATTTCAGAGGCAATTTATGCTAAAATAGTAGAAGATAAATCAATTCTTGGTTAAAAATCTTTTGAATATGTTCCATATAAAGGTACATGTTTCTATCTTTTTGGTTCTTATAAACACGCCAAAAAAATGTTCCAAAAAATCACCGATTAAATTCGTACAAATACCTTTAGTCATCTATTCATAAAAATGATATTGTAAATTCATGTTAAGAATAATTGTAGAAATCTAGATAAAGCAGCTCCCAAGCTATCAATCTGTTCTGTTTACTTCTTTACTCTACATCTTTGATTCATCATCATTAATTCTGTTTTTTGTAGCACATTGTTGATGAATCTGTAGTAATAATCAGAAGCACGTATCTCTTAACATTAGTAAAATCAATAGTAGTCTTTTCCTCACTCAACATTTAGCACACATTCACTGTCTCCATTGAGGGTTAAGGGTGCTGTTTCTTATCATTAAACTTGATTCTCACTATTCGGAAGTTGACGGTCAGTAGCCGCCAGGTAGATACCCGTCCAAAGTTTTATTCCGTTTAAAAAGCATTGTGTGTTCTCATTATCCCCCACTAGGATTTATAAGAGGTAATGCTGCATTTAGCGTGCGGGGCTCGTGGCTAATGAGGGGCATGCCGATATAGGGGTTTCCCCGTAGATTCCTAATGAAAATTCCACCAAAAAAAGAAGTGGTGATACTAAAATGAGGATTGCCTTATGGGTTTTTCATATGGAGAAAATGTATAAACCTTTAATTAAATCTTATGGGGGCTTGATCAGGCAAATCTATTTGAAAATACTCTCGGTAAACTAAAAAAACTTATAAAAAATGGTAACAATCCCCTTGCCCAATTATGAATAATTAATTCTTTTAGTAGGTACAAACTTACGGATGTTTATACAATTTAAAATAAAAACATTCTAGTGACAATAATGCAAACGAAAAAATACGGAAATGATTTTCTTTTCCTGCTTTTTTCATTTTTTTTTCTTTTTATAACCCCACCTTCTTCTTCCAGAAAAAGAGTAATTACTGCTAGATTAGTAAGTGAATATTTTTTAATCATCGCGATGAAAACCGTGCTAACCATCCAAAAAATTATTGAAAAATTAACGGTCGTTTCTGTATAATGAGAATACAATACTTATAAAACTGACGGGCGGCTGCTGACCGTCAATATACTGATCTAGTGATTTAGTGAGAATCAAGCTTTATAATGCAGCTGACGCTTGCCGTTGAATCTAGACCGCTCTCGACAAGGAGTTGACGCATCCACTGTTTTGGTTTTGTGTTAACCGTATGCGAAATTTTTTATGTATGATCACTCATAACTTTTTGAAGAATAGTTCGATTTTAATAATTCTTTTTTATTGGAAAAGGTATATCCCGAAGTTGGTCCCATATAAATTTGGAACAGAATTCCAACCCTAAGAGTAGGAAACAGGGGATGATTGTTGATTGTTGTTCACTCACTTATTGTAATGTATGACAACGCATAACTTTTGACAGAATAGTCCGACTTTGATAATTCTCTTTTTATTGGAAAGGATATACCACGAATTTGGTCCCATATAAACCTGAGAAAAAAATCTAACACTAAGGGTAGGAAAACAGGATATGATNTATTCCATAATAATCGATAATAATTGGTAACTAAAATTAATAAATCGATATAATTAATCCATCAACTTCAACTTCTCCAACGGTCAAGATCAATCAAACTTACGGATGTTTATACAATTTAAAATAAAAACATTCTAGTGACAATAATGCAAACGAAAAAATACGGAAATGATTTTCTTTTCCTGCTTTTTTCATTTTTTTTTCTTTTTATAACCCCACCTTCTTCTTCCAGAAAAAGAGTAATTACTGCTAGATTAGTAAGTGAATATTTTTTAATCATCGCGATGAAAACCGTGCTAACCATCCAAAAAATTATTGAAAAATTAACGGTCGTTTCTGTATAATGAGAATACAATACTTATAAAACTGACGGGCGGCTGCTGACCGTCAATATACTGATCTAGTGATTTAGTGAGAATCAAGCTTTATAATGCAGCTGACGCTTGCCGTTGAATCTAGACCGCTCTCGACAAGGAGTTGACGCATCCACTGTTTTGGTTTTGTGTTAACCGTATGCGAAATTTTTTATGTATGATCACTCATAACTTTTTGAAGAATAGTTCGATTTTAATAATTCTTTTTTATTGGAAAAGGTATATCCCGAAGTTGGTCCCATATAAATTTGGAACAGAATTCCAACCCTAAGAGTAGGAAACAGGGGATGATTGTTGATTGTTGTTCACTCACTTATTGTAATGTATGACAACGCATAACTTTTGACAGAATAGTCCGACTTTGATAATTCTCTTTTTATTGGAAAGGATATACCACGAATTTGGTCCCATATAAACCTGAGAAAAAAATCTAACACTAAGGGTAGGAAAACAGGATATGATTTATAGTAGGAAAATAATAGTAGTATGTAGTAGTAGTAGTAATAAATAGATTATAGCCACAAAAAATTATAAAATAAAAACTTTTTAA